CAGTCCATCACAGGGACACCCTGGTCTCCAGTCCATCACAGGGACACACAGGGACAAACAAACCATTCACTCTCACACTCACCTAGGGATAATTTAGAGTTACCAATCAGCCTAAAAATAAAACATGAACTAATAAAACACGCTGTTGGCCAAAAGCAGCCAAAAATAATAAATATGCGCTGAACTACACCTGCACTGATCTTTCATATTAATTGTTTTTTATGATTCAGTCTTGGTTTATCCAGCTTAGAAAAATTAGATCTGTGTAAGTGTTTGAGTCAGCTGTGTGGAATGAGTGTGAACCTCTGATTGATAACTGATTGATAATGATCTGACGGCTACTGATGGTCAGATTGACAAACGTCAGGGTGGAGGAACACAAAATGAGCAGAGTGCTAGCTGTTACCTGTGAGGGGGTGAACCCAGACATCCTGAAGGCTGAATGGACCAGAGGGACTTCAGCCTTCAGCAGCATCTCCACATAGTGAGCTGTGCACCAGTAAACCGGAGAGATCCCAGATTCAGCAACTTCCTGAGGGAAATGGACCTGTCACAACAAAAACCAAGGGTTTGTCTCACTCCACGTGTGGACAGATTCAGAAAGAATAAATATCAATAAATAAAGATCCATTTTACTGGACGTCCTTGCTGAAAATGACTTAACGGAGTTTGATTTTAAATAATTTGTTTATAAACGGCGTACAACATTGTGTTTTCACGCTCATGCTCTCTCCTACTGTACGTAAATTATTTTTTGCCATTTAATTTTCCATATTATTGACAAAATTGACCAGTTTGTGTTAAAGAGGAACTATAGTGAGAGCATGAATCACAGACAGACAAGTCTGAGAGGTACGCTGTCAATATACGACAGATGTTAAATGAATGACAAGAAGTAAATCTCTGTTTTATGACCCAAACTAGACTTCATTCTACAATGAATCCCCACAAGTGATCAATTCCTTTATCATTTTGTCCTTTCCTCCTCCATTTCTAGTCGTCCCTCTGAGTTTCATGTTTTAGTCGTAGAAATGTCCTCTACTCTTATCCATGGTAAAAATGAATAAAAATAAATGCAATGTTTTGAAGATTGTTGTCTTATTTTTAAAGCAGATGTAGCTTGTTTATGTGTTTGGCATTTAAATTTTTCTCAAAAGAGAGACATATGTAAAATCAACTTACATAAATCCTGTCCAAAGTTGGAGAAAATGAGATAAAAGTTCCAGAGGACTGATCAAACCAAAGCCTGTCTGAGAGCTAAAACATCTTTTAATGAGTAAATATTGTTCTGTTGAACCATGCTCTTTAGAATAGACTAGAATACACTTTATTGTCCCCTAGGGGAAATTTGTCATGAACTCGGGTTTATATTTAAAAAGATTGTTGTCACAAAACCTGCTTTTAGCCACCAGGAAAAGTTAACTGGTCTGAATCGCTGTAATGGCCACAAAGTCTGAGCCTAAATTGTATCAGTTCTCACAATTACTGTCTTACAAAATAAAATTAAAACGAATACAACGACCCTTTCCCAAGAATCCCCATTAGAGCAGATCTTTAACCAAACAGCCACCAATGGGTGGCTACAAAAATAAAAAAAATACTGAGCTGAATGCTTGAATGAGAAACCTTCGGAAACCTTCAGAATTACTAATCTGGTTTGGACAATATTTGTCTGAATTAGGCCTGTCACGATAACAAATTTTGCTGGGTGATCGTCTCAGAAATTATTGCGATAAACAATAATATTGTTTGAAATTTGACAATAATTAGTAATTATTGTCGAATTTAAGAAGAAATGTTGGTTAATTTTGTGTGTATTACATTTTTTCGACCACCGGATGGCAGTATAAGACAGTTTGAACTGAAGGATGGATAGTGAGGGAGCGAGCAGTGTGTCTCTTTAAGAACAATGGGAGGGAGGCCACTTGACGTGACATGGGCTGTCTCTCCTTCCTTTATTCAGTTCTCAAAATGGCGGACGCTCGGTGTGGTTTGAGCTCTTTAGCATAGCATTTTTCATAAATAAATTTTAATTAAAGAATCAGTAAACAAGTTCTCAGCTTCTTTTTGCAGAGAAAAACAACTTTTTACACGAAGGCACGGGTTTCAGCCGTGAATTTTGGAGCTTCGAAAAGATGGAGGTTTTTTTTCCCCTCCGAGGTCGGCCTGTTAGCTTAGCTCGTAGCTTAGCTTCTCAGCTTAGCTGCTTTTAACGATCCAAAAACGCGATTTTGGATCGTTAAAACGGATTTTATAGAGAAAAGAGAAAGGGAGGGGTCAGTGAAGAGCACCGGAGTTGAGCCTTTTCTCATCCAGTGTCTTCAGCAGAAAGAGAGAGACACGAAGAAACGATAAAGCCGATAAATGAAAATTATCGACCTCGTTTTAATTTATCGTGCGATTAATTGATTTATTGTTTATTGCGACAGGCCTAGTCTGAATGTCGCCCAGTTCTGGATTTAACTAACCCGATTCAATGAGATCTGCTCTCATTTGTTTATTCACCCAACAATTTAAAATAAAACTAAATAATTTTTATTATAACGGGCAGTTTTAAAAATATACACAGGAATATTTATTTTAAAGTTCAGCTAAGAATCACTTAAAAAAGTGAGCTTTTAAGAATAATTTTCTGTTCACAACATTTTTAATGAATCTTCAGGGGAGTAATCAACAATAACAGCTGCATGTTGAGAAATAAGGTGTATTATTAACAGACTTTACACGCAACAACCTCTCTGCAGTAATGAGGATTTAAAAACGGTGAAACTCTGTGTATGTAAACACGTTGGACAGTGGTCGTTACTCACAGATGCGTGAATCCTTGCAGGCCAGATGAACGCAGACGTAAGCAGAGAGGAGAGGTTCAGTAAGAGATTCAGGGACCGGTCCGTGTTTCCAGCCATGACGAGGAAGACAGTGGAGGTCAGCCAGTCGTGGCCCAGATAACCGTCCTGTTGACTGACTGTTGCAGAGTTAAAGAAGCAAAGTGCTGCTTCAAATGAGAAGAATCAGCCACTTGGAAACAAGTAAGAAATACTTTATTTTAAATTTAAACACACCCATCAATTGAGATTTTAACCCCAATGAGTTTCATTTTTTCCTTCTTTATAATCCACAGAACACCAAAGTTCATGCTCAATAATCCGGGTAAAAATCTAACAATGTTCAGTCGGGTAATCTGGACTGATTATTGAGCATGAACTTCTGTGGTTTGAACCACTCTGCCATAAGTTGACGGGGGAAAGGGCGGGCCCCAGAGGCCATCTTATCACCAGTAAACTGGGTTTTCCACTATGGAGTATGTTGTTTGTGGGAGTCAGTTTTGTTTTGTGGCTCCTCAGGTTGAAGAAGTCCTTTGGATGAAGGAAGAAACGTCTCAGAAAAAAAAAAAAAAAGAAACCGTCCAGATGACCAGACTGAACATTGTTAGATTTTACACCTGGATTATTGAGCATGAACTTTGGAACTAACTGGGTTATTTTTTTAATACATGTTAATTATTCAGGCCATGCTAACAGTCTGAACACTGCCCAATAAAGGAAATATTATGATTTATTATTAATATTACGCTTTTATTAAAATGCTTTTCACATTTTAAAAACTTTGACTTTTTTTATGTGTATTTTATATTCTTGTTCAACAGCTTCTCATATTAGATTCAGAGGATTCTTTCAAATTTCTCAAACCCAGCTGCATATTTAAATTAATTTTTGGTGCATGCTGTGCACGCAGTCAGTGCCAGCTGTTGTGATGGCTAGTTAAAATGTCAGATACATGGGAGGGTAGATTATAGTTGCCTAAATCTGAAGAGTCACCGTGACTCATTTCTTCGGCTCATGGTTTATGCATTTGGCATTTATTAAAATGCTGGTTTTCTATTTCAAAACGACTCAAAATCATTGTGGTATTGTTCAAAATGAACAAATTAGAATATATTTATCTTAAAATAACTTACAAGTTATTTTCTGTCTAGGGGTCCATCCAGTTCCACCTTCTGGCTTCTCTTGTGGAGCAAAATGTAACAAAAGTGTTTGCAGGGACCTCAACGACTGTAACAAGAGCCAAGTTTATCAATCGTAAACTTTAAGTATTTGCAGTGTTTTTACTGCGGTTATAAGATCTTAATTTACCCATCATGCAGCAGGATAAGCCTCATGCATTTGTAATGTTCTCTGTTAATTTGTTAGATTCTTGTTAAAGTCCTCCGCCATTTGGCAGCCAATTGATTTTTGGCACAACACCGGCCCACGTTTCCAGGTTGTCCGCGGTGACACATAATAGATGCGACTTATACAGCGAAGTGACATATTTATGTTTGTTTTTTCACTTTATTAGAAATATTTGGACTGATGTGACTTATACAGTTTTGCGACGTGTACGGCGGAAAGTATGGTAAATGTATCTAAATTCTTATAAGACCAAATGCATGCAAGGTTTTATCAGACTTTCCCTCCTTGTTTTTTTCTTGTTCTACTGTCCACTGATAAAGTGAACTTCAGAAACTAAATAGATTTATCAGATGTCATTCAGGACCAGAGAAAGAGGAAGTGTTCTCCGAGACGCAGATGGAGGAAGATAACGTGTATTGTGACGATCAGTGACAGACAATGATACTTTCAAAGGAAGGCTGGTGGGGTTATCAGCTCAACGCTGCTGCAGTATCAGTGTCTGTGATACTGTCTCAAATATGGCTCAAGTCAGTGTTTGAAGTCCATTTTAAAAACTACAATAATGGTTACCAGTTGTACCACAGCCACACGGATGAAGCTGTGATCTTTTTGGTTTTTAGGCAAAAACATTCAGGCTAATTGGTCCGTCTCTTGCATATATGTATTCATACATTAGGTCAGAGATAGTGAGGATCTTATAACTGTGACTGTAGAGGTCTGCTCTACGTGGAAAATGTTCAGTTCAAACTAGTGAACAACTGGATGTGAACTTGGTATGAAGATGAAATGAAGCATCTTTAGTTTGGTCATGGTTTAAAGGCTGCTTTTTTGTTTAGGGAAAAAAAAAAGAGACTAGTACTTATTTATCCTATAATCTCTTTTTAACATTTTGTTAAAGCTACATTTTAATAACTCTTAAAAATCATTGATAAGAATATATTTTAACATTTTTCCTTCTAACTTGTAAAATTCTAAACAGCCAAGTTCCATCTTAGATTAAAAATCTTATTATTCTCAGACTGCAGGTTTACTTGAGGTTCCTAAAGTTTCTAAAACAGGAGGCAGAGCTTTCAGTTATCAGGTTCCTCTGTTGTGAAATCAGCTTCAAGTTTGTGTTACTATTTTTCTTACTCTGTCTACTTTTAAGACCAAGATTAAGACTTTCCTTTTTGATAAATCCTATATTTAGGGATGCCTCGGGTTTCCTGAGCTCTCCCTTGGTTCTGCTGGTGGACAAACTGAACACATTTCCTCAGTCTGCTGCTGTCTTTATGCTCAACTCTTCACGTTTGTATTTGTAATTATGGCTGCCATTAACTTGCATTTCTCTTTATCTTCCCATAGAAACTACACCAGGACCATAGAAACTACACCTGGACCATAGAAACTACACCTGGACCATAGAACCACACCTGGACCACAGAACCACACCTGGACCATAGAACCACACCTGGACCATAGAACCACA